ATTAAGCAAAGCCTCTGAATATAGCATCACTAATTACACGAATCCTCACTAAATTACCAATAGTTCATGGCACCCTGTAAAATCCTCGTGTAATAGCCTTAGGGAAAAAATGACACAGCGCTGGCGGCAAGCCACACAGCCCGCATGGCAATTGCAAAGCGCTTTGGATGTTTATGAGCCTTTTTTTTTTTTTAATAAAAATAAAAATCTAAAATGTACGTTTCCCCCAATGACTCTGCTCCAGGGAGTATTAAAAGCAACACCTTGACTCAGCCTACCACATAAACATCCTGCTGCCCCCGGACAGCCCGATACCGTCTTCCTCCCAGGATGAGGAGCTGAATAAGAAGTGACAATCACAGCTCCTGCCTGCGGGAAAACAGGAAGCGCCAGAGTTGTACAACCACTCCAAACATTGTCCTACCTGCTCCTCTCCTTGGGTGCGATGTGAACTCGCTTTCTTTTCCTTTCCGCCTTGCGTAACTATTTCTGGTCCAGCGCTGGCTGGTCCCGGGATGCTGCTGCACGGGACAGTCCCCATGGCCTCCGGCTTCTCCCCGCCCGCCCAAAGCCAGCCTCTCTCCGACGCAGAAGGACAAACGTCCACCTTTCTAACCCACCGCTAGCACTGCTAGCTTGGTGGCAGCGCCGAATGCAAGCGCCGCAGGAGATAGACACAGGCCCAGGGCAGATTGATTCACTCCACAGCTGCCCACATCTGGCAGGAACTAGATAGAAGAAAATCCTAAATCTTCTCTACCAGGCAAGCCCAAACGCTGCCAAGAATGGATGCTTTGGGCCAAATCTCTTAAATGACCACAAGACTAAAGGAGCTGATGTTTACAGACGTGCTCTGGTTCATGCATTAAAGTGCTAAACTTCATGCCAAGCAGCCCCTGTGATTAAGGCAGTCCTACGGGCAGGTGATGGGGTAAGCCTGTGCCCTGGTGTCAAAGCAAGCTGGGCAGCCAAACTTCTCCGCAAGCACATGAAGAGGACCTCCGGTAACCAGGAGTTGTGATGGAGAAGAGGCCACCCGCTCAGCTTAACCCCCAGTTTATCCACTAATATCCACTCCCTCTGCCCCCCTCAACTTCTTCTGGTTTGATTTTGAGGAATCTCCCTCCACTTGGTGAAACGCATCACCAGCCAGAAGCCCTGCTCTCAGGACCGTCCTTCCCAAAAGGCGAGAGACTCTTCCCACATTAAACTATGCTCTGGGAGCGGGGCAGCTCGTTCCTCCTCTGGCTGCTCCCACGCTTCTAGCGAGCGACGGGCCCGGCTTCGCATGCAAAACATAGACGTCGTATCCGAGTTTCCAAACAAGAAGCGGGAGAAGAAGAAGGTTTCCTATCTGCTCTTCCTTTACTCGCAATGTAAAAACATCCCTCACCGAATGGGGCGGCGTTTGCCATCACTTCGCAAAGTTCACATTCCCACAGGCACAGGCGGGCACGAGGAGGAACAAGGAACAAGGCGGGGACCAGCACACCAGCGCCCGCGGGTCACGGTCACACAAGACAATACTTTGCAAAATTTGGAAGTGTGGGAGGAATGCGGCAAGGCTGAAGACGAGGATGTTTATTAACATATAAGAATATCTCCAAAGGGTTTGCGTTCTATGAGGGGGAAAAAAAAGGGAGGCCGAGGCAAGCCAGCTCAAGCCATCAGTGGGGCTAAATCTGGAAATCCTTGTTCAGGCGATCCTATTGCTGGTGTAAAGACAAACAAGGTTTTTGAAACATTCACGACAGTAAGAGTTTTCCTAAATAAGGTGAAACTTCAAATGAATTCCCCAATTATTTCCCGTGTGTAACTGCATTAAATAGTAGGATGCAAGTGCGTTTCCACACCTGGCTCAGCCTCTGCTCCTGAAAAGGGTGCTGCTCCCTACAGCATAGAGCAGGAAGCCTTTCAGTCCAAGAATTGCAGTCTCAGCCTTGTTGACCACTTCTAAGTGGTCAATGGAAGATGAGCAGGGGAAAGCCTGGCAGTAAGTTTAGATTTAAAGTACCTACAGACACATTGACAAAACTTTTCAGCACAAAAAAAAAAAAAAGCCTGGGGGGCAGAAAAAAACCAAAACACTGTGTTAACCATTTAAAGGGCAGATACAGATTAGAGAGCAAGAGAAGAGATTCCCAGCTTCTTCCCTGTACCCACCTCCACAGCAGTCTCGGGCGTATTCGGGAGGTGGCTCTGCGGCCGCAGGGCAATGCTAGCTGTGTGAGGTCCTTGCACCCCCCGGCCCGTTAGCGCTGCTGTTGATTAGGAGGAGGACGGAGACCGCCACACGGGTTTCACATGGGCATCTGTCAATCGGTGTGTGGATGTTAACAGCCACGGGGCCCCACGGGGCATCCGTGACCGGCCGGGCTTAGCACAGCCCCGGCAGCGCCAGCCACCGAGAGGGAGTTTGACCTCCAGTGAACGAACTTAACCAGTTATGCTCTGCTAACGAAGGCAAATCTGCATTCGGGGCACAAGCCCCCCGGCAGCCCCTCAGCTGACGCAGCCATGGCAAGGCAGCTGCTGCCCAGGACCAGCCCCAAGCAGCTCAGGAGCAGTTTCCTCCTGCTTGCAGGTCACACACAGCAGACGCTGTCTCTCATGCTCCTCTGAAGAGACCCATACTGATGAACATTTGTAAGTGCTGTTCCCTTGCAATGCAAAGCAAAGGGGGTTTTTCATTATTTTTTTTTCTGCCCCTCAGACAGAGAACATCTCCTTGCTTTCACCTTATGACTGTAAAATAAGAATAAACTACATTTCTTCCTACCAGTTTCAGCTGCATTTTTGCTCACCAGGGCTGCGGTTGGGACAGTCCCTGCTGAAATGTTGTATTTTAATGCTGGAAGGCACATGCTGCTGCCACCTGCTTAACTAACAGAGCTCACAGAGTTTCTTCTGCCCTTTTATTAATTAACCTTACTGCAGACCATTAATAAAAAGGACCTCCTTGCGCTCGAGCAGGGTTGGCCGGCGGCTGGACAGGCTCCTGCGGCAGCTGCCCGAGTGTGCGGCCAGGCCACGAATGCTGCTGCCCGGCTGCCTAAGAGCGGCTTTGGGAGCTGCGGAGGAGAAGCGCTGCTGGGCACCGGTTTGGCCACCCGGAGCGGGAAGGCGCCCGGTGCTGCCCACCGCACCAGCCAACCTGCGCTGGGGAAAAAACAGGGTCTGCTGCCTTGGACGGAGCCCTGCACTGCAGTCATTTCCCGAGGCTCATGCAGCCCTTGTGGGGTGGTCAGCACTACAGTAACACAAGAAACTCTTATTTTCAGTTAATATTTATCTTCCACCCAGGCACCCTCCTGCCCCAAGACCCATCAGTCTGGGAGGAGTAAGCACGGCACTGCAGCTCGAAGTAAAATGCGCGTCTTTTGCTGGGAAGGGAAGCAAAGGGTGGTCATTTGCTCCTGCCCCTGTGCACCCCAACCTCAGGCTGTACCATGCTTCTCCTGATTTGGGGGGACAGGTTGCAGGGACACATGCAACAGGGCCTGGCCGCAAGACCTGACCTACCAACACAGGGATCTCATCACCTCGAGGAAACGTACCCTTCTCGCTGAAAGATGGAAAGCATTTTACAGCCTTTCCCAGAGCCCAGCAGCTTTCCCAAGGCTCGAGGGAAAGCCAGCAGACTTGAAAAGTCACAAATGTGGCCACGATGGCCCTGAAGGTAGTTCTTTAAACCGCGGCAGGGAAGCGGTGCGTACAGCCCAGCTCCATCGCGGCCGGAGGGAAGGCAGGGTTCCTCGGGCGTGGAGCACCCTCTGGTGGGAAAATCACGGTTGTCCAGACGAGACCAAATCCACCCACGGCACAAGACCTGTCAAGACCTCCCGGCAGGTGGGTTTCCACCATGCAGGGTTGCTTCACTGGCAGGCTCCCACGCAACACAGCCCTCACCCCCGTGCCCGCTGGGCACTGCCTGGCTCGGTACCCTGCCCCGCTCTGTGTGCCCGGCGTGCCCGCTTGCTCTCCCCGAGCTTCGAGGCAGCGATCCCTTCTCCTTTGACCACTACAGCCCCTCACGGCTGCAGGGTCTTTCAACCAGGCCACATCCCTGCCATGTGCCAGCCCAGGGCCTGGCTGCCGGAGGGACGCTGCTGGCAGCGGCTCTCGCCACAAAAAGGCGATTTGTAAATAATCACTCCCCAGTTTTGAAGTCTTTGTAGCTGTGAAAGCCATGGGGCTGGATGGGAGCGGGTCATGCACCCCAGGCTGCTGCAGTCCCCTTTGCCTTGGTCTTCACACTCCCCGGTCAGGCTGCGGCTCCTTCGGGAAGGAGTGCCTGCACGTGTGTGCACCCTCTTTTTGGTATGATGGGGCCTCTGCTCTGCCTGGGGTCTCCAGCTGCTCTCGCAAAACAAGTGACAGTCACAAATTTTAAGCAGCCCCCGGGAAAAGGGCACAGACAGCAGTTCAGCCCTTCCAGTCCCTGGTTTAGTCACAGACCTGCCACATGACACCCGACGCGCCCCATCACACCCCCTCCCCTGCCCCAGCTTCCACCTTAAAAGACCCACCGGCGCCACAGAGGCGGGACCCATGGCCCAGCACTCGCTTGTTCATCCCCAGTCCCGGGGCACAGGGCTCCCCGCAGCAGCCTTCCCCTAAGCAGTATCGGGGGACCGGGGACATCTCACCCCATGTGGCTCTGCAGGACCCTGCACGGGGGCTGTGGGCACAGGGCTCGTTTCTCACAGGGACCGCAGCCATCTGGTGTGGCCGAGTGCTGAGGTCGGCAGGGACCTCGAATTAAAAGGCAGGTTCTGCCTCAAAAGCTGACGCTGTAAACATAGGGCAGGAGGCACCTTTTGTGCCTCAGGCTGTTTCCCTGCCCCCAGCCGAGCTACTGCCCAAACAGCACTTTAGCCCAGCTCTGGGTGTGCTCGCTCTTAAATAAACACAGGAGGTTCCCCAACACCCTTCCTCCGGGTCCCCACCTGCCTGCCGGCACGGCGTTCGGCTCCCAGCGCCGCAGCGGCACCCGAGAAATGCGCTTCCTTCCCCGCCTCGCCATCTCAGCTGCCCTGGGCATCGCCACCTTCCTGAGCTGGAGGCTGCTTCTCCGGAGCCCGGCCGCCGGCCGAGGAGGTAACACCTGGGCACCGAGGCAGTTCTGCACTGCTGGCAGCATTCTGTGCCGTGGGAGAAATGACCTGGAGCTTTTTTGGGAGGTTCTTGGTGGGCAAATGCCTATGGCACAGAAAATACTGTTTGCACGGCCCCAGAGGCAGAATAACCTCCAGAGAAAGCCCTTGCCGTGGAGTTCTGCAGCTTTATGTCCTTAGTGGGGTCATTGATCTCAGGTGTGGTGAGGAAACCGGGTGTCAGACTGCTGGAGGTGACTCCCAAAACCTTTGCTGAGAAGGGTGAAATGCTGTTGGGAGGGCAGGAGCAGGGAAATCAGTGATCAATGCCTCTCTTGCCTAAAAAATGGATCCTTCCCCTCTAGTCCCAGTCAATCCAGGGCAAAGTCATGACTAGATTTTGCAGACGTTGTCAGTCTGGGCGAAGGGCAGCCCAGGGTAGCTTCAGGCACCGCTGCACTTCTTCCGGCGCTGCCGGTGTCCTTTGCCTAATTTTAACTGTGCTTCTCCTCCGTGTGCAACAGACTCCCCGAATCAGTGGGAAATATTTAACTTCCCAAGGACCCGGGAGAAACCATCAAACTGTCTCCCCGGGCTGCCGAATGCCTACGCTGAGCAGATGAGGCAGACGTGTGCTGCTGCTAAAAAAAATCCTGAAGTAGCGAGGCAGGCATTCATCTTCTGCATTCACACCCGCTATGGCCTCTTCACATCAAAAATAAGAAGATAAGGAACAAGAAGCAAAGCTGAAATTTGAGAAATTAAACCGACTGTCATAGAGTCTTTATATTTGCTTTTGCCTTTTGTATTTGCTTTGTTGTCTTCTCGCTTCTATTTGCTTTTGGTTTTTATTTGCTTTTTGCTTTTTGTTTGCTTTTGCCTTTTTATCTGCAGGAGAAAAAAATTTACATATGTAAGTGATGCAAGAAGTTACGTCATTTGGGTTCCTAAATCGCCCCGAGCCATTAGGAATCATGTCTTGCTTTCGCATATATTTGATAGCTGATGTTAACCAATTAACAGATGCAAAAGCGTTTGCAGGGGGTTGTGTATTTGTAGCTACAAACCAATTTACCGCTCCTGGGTCTCTCAGAGTGTTTCTGACTCTCTTTGCTAAACCCACCTCGGTTAAGCTCAGTCAAAAGCGAGGAGTTAAAAGCAAAAAATATGATTCAGTGGAGAATGGGGCCCGTGGCACACAGCTACGGCCGAGATCAGTGCTCAGACGCGGCGGTTTGGGGAAAGCAGTGTCCGGGTGCCCATGAGCTGACGCATTCATGGGGACAGAAACCTGTTTCCCAGGAAAAGCGAGCTTTTCGCCAGGCAGGGCTGGTCTCCCCTCTCCTACCCCTCTTTGTTCACCCTTATATCCTTTCCACGCTGGAATAGCTGGAAAAGAGCCTGCCGACAGTGTCCCACGCTGGGGTGCCGGCTTGGGGCAGAGGTCTGCTATGAGCTTTCCTCGTCTCCATCTTCAAATGGTGTTTCCCAGGTGACCTGGCCCCCAAGGCGGAGGAGGGCTTCACTTTGACGCTGGACACCTTCCTTCACGTTCAGCAGCTCAGGAAGAAGAGACTGAGAGCTTTCTGCAGCCGATCAGGCAAAGTCACCACACTGCCGAGGAGCCGAGAGGAGAGAGCCCGCCTGCTCTCGAGTTTGAGGGTAAGCACCAAGCTGGACCTCCTCTACTGCCAAGTGCCATCGACGGGGACGGAGGAATGGCAGCAGCTTTTGGAGAAGCTAGAGGAGAAGGAAAACGTGACGCTTCCGGTGCCGCTTCCCTACCCTCGGCGGCACGCTCTGGAGACGCAGCTGAGCGAGTTCAACCTGACGGCGACAGAGGCCATGTTAGGGTCTTACACCAAAGTGCTGTTTGTCAGGGACCCTTTCCAGAGGCTGATCTCCGCGTTCATGCAAGGCATGGGCAGCAGCCCTTCCTTCAGCAGCTTTGTTCAGGACGTTTTAGACAGCGGACAGCACAACGCCAGCGTGACGTGGAAACCGCTCGTCAGCCTCTGCCGGCCCTGCCTCGTTCGGTATGACTACGTGGTGGTGTTCGGCTTCCTCAGGCAGGAGCTTGGTCATCTGCTGCGGCAGGCCGGGCTGGCTGCGGACAGCCTCCTCCCCGAGTTCACCGACACCCAGGCGAGCTGGACCTACAGCTGGTTATCAGAGCAGATGTTCAGCGAGCTGTCCCTCCAACAGAAGCAGAAACTCTCTCATTTCTACCGTCGGGACCTTTCTGCTTTCCCGTTTTCTAGCAGTTTTCTGTCAGACCTCCTCAGCACCCCAGAGACCTGGTAGCTTTACCCTGGCTGGAGGGACTGTTTCAGAGAGCCTTAATCCAAACACAAGCACTTTGAGATACCAGCTGAGTTACAGACAGACCCTCGCTCCGTGGCTGCGTGCTGCACGCTTGTCCATGTCACCGCTCCATAAGGCACGCCAGAGAGCCGTGACGGACCACTGGCAGGGACAGGGTATCAAGGCTCCTCATGTGGCTGCGTTACGTTTAAATATGGCAGGATCAAGCTCTAGGGAAAGGCATGGCTTTGGGGCTTGGAAAACTGCATGAACTGAACTGTCATGGGGTAAACAGCTCTCAGCAGAACTATTTTGGGGTAGGTTGGGTTGGACCCACAGCAGCATCCATACATGCTCTGCCTGCGCTGCCATTTTATGTTCTGGGCTCCCTTTTGGGCCAAGAGGTTTGGCAAATGGCTTCTTTGTGACAAATCTCCCCACACAGATGCAAGAAGCCCTCCCAAAGGAGCACGTCACCTGGAATCCCTCTACTCTGCAAAAGTAGGTGAGATACGACATAGGGTGGCAGACCCTCCCGGGGAACCACTGGTGATCTTCCCACGCTGAGGGAAGGCCAGGCCCAGCCCATCATTTGGTCTTATCTGTTCTGTGTGAACTGTTCCTGCTTTAGGACCTCACATCTGTGTGTTTAGGCTCAAGAGGGCCCGGGGGATGAGGCAAGCTGCTTGCTCCATATGCAAGTTTTGGGTGAGATTCCCCCCTTTACAGGGCCGACTCAAATGGGCCAAGCCTAGCTTTCGGCTCTACTCACTAGCAATGGACAAGGATATGGCAGCCTGGACCGGGACCACGCAGCCAGCCAGCCTTCCACCTTGTCTGGTGGGCCCGGCGGAGGTGGTTAGGAGCATCAAGATGCATCACGGTGCTGCTGTGGGAAACACCATGTGGCTACTGTTAAGATCCTCCTGGCAGAGGACTGCAAGGACTGACTCTGCTTGCTTTTGGACTTGGATGCCAGCGTGGCTGAGTGGAGGCCCGGCCTCTCCATCTGGGCAACCACCAGCCCTCGCCCAGCCTTGGCCACTGAGCTGGATCTGCCCTGTAGCCTCTGGGAAGGGTCCATCCTTGCCAAACGCCAAGGATGAGCTGAAGTTGTCTGGCTTTCAAACCGTGACAGACTTTTACCATAGCATACTAGTTTCCAGAATATTTTTTAGCTTTATTTTGCAACGTTGTGACATTCACAGAGAATTCCACATACATCCATGTGACAAAGACACTGATTTGACAACACTCATTACAGAACAATAATGAAAGCTGCTGATTAGAACTGACCTAAAACAATTACCAAAAACTTGGCCTCCCTCTCTCACCGAGGGACACGCGATTAACAGCATTAAGACATAAGATCAGATGGCCTCCTTCTACCCTCCCACAAACTATCCAGCTACAGCAATTATTACTTGTGCCATTATTGTGCGTAATACTTTACAGTCTAGCAAGATGGCGTAGTTCCTCTTCAGAGGATACAGTTCTAGAAGGAGAGAAGCAGCAAATTTCCAATTGTATAGAACATTAGTCATGCATCCATGCTGTATTTCACTGAAAAGTAATAGGAAAGGAACATTTTTCTCTTCGTAACTAGCTTTCCCTTCAGTGACTGCCAGCTGAAATCCCACGCAGCGAGACGTGCGTGAAGAGACCCGACGCAGCACCCAGCGGAGGACAGTGCTGTGCACTCACAACAGGAGAGCTGTTCTCAGACAGCTGTGTAGTGCAGACCGCTTTTTAAGTGGGGCTATCCTATAACAGTACCATCTCTTCCTGCCAGCCCTCCGCAGCGGGTCCTGGTCCTTCCCGAAGGTGCCTGGCACCGAGTTCCATGGGAAAGCAATGTATGAAATGTTAAGACACCGAGAGGTGAAATGAAAACCTCAGCTTCAAGTTCCTCAGGGTCCGTGGTCTCACCCACAGCCCAGCCAGGTATTACGTGTATATCTCTGCAAATTCCTATTAGTCTCCAAGCTTCCCATTTTCCTACAGCCTCAAAACCAGTTTCGGTAATTACTTTGCAACCCTGATTTTATACCATTGCCCCCCGCCTTGGGTGTTTGATATCATTGATACAATTTACATTCAATTCCAGTGCACCCCAAAAGGAAGGTGTTTCCTCCTTCCATCAGCTAGTGGCCATGGAAGGAGAGGGCCCTGAGCTGGGCTCGAATGCAAGGACTGGTGCCTGGGAAACAGTGGGTCACTGATGCTGCAGCAAAAATGGCTCCACAGGCTAAGGCCTGCCCTGAACTAGCCTGCTCTGACCATTGCATGTACACATAACTTGGCAAATGCATTTCAAATTAATGCACAAAGCAAATAACAAAAGAGAGACTTGATACATCTAATTTTTAAAAAATTTCACCTGACCAGGCAGCCACTGTGGCTGAGACATTGCAAACCCATTCTGAAATGAAGAAGAAGGTGCTCCCAGACCCGCAGGGAATAAAGAGCACTTACTCATCCTGCTAGTGACATCCCGTCACGTCCCAGGACCCTCCCAGGGAGCAGGCCTCTCGTAAACGCTGGCGGCTTTCCCCGAGATGATGCTGGAAGCTCCTCGATATCACACTCTTTGCTTGTAGCTCCCCATGTTTTGCATTAATACACATTATGTTCCCATTGTACTTCCTCTCGGCCTGGTCTGAATAAGCAAGTCCAGCGATCCCATGAGGTGGATGCCGCAGAAACAATGCCGATACCAACCTACCTTACAGACTTTGTATTTTGCATCCCTTCCTGGACATTCAAGAATGTGAATACACAGGCTCCAACAGCTGCTCTTGCACACAAACGATGACATTTTCTTCTCTAAGAGGTTTTTTTACATATTGTCAACTTGCAGGAGAAAACAAAAATGTGTTCTTGCCCAGTACCTCAGAGCTTAAGAAACACCAATATTGTATTTCAATTAATAAAACAATTACATAGCAAGACTAGCAGGCACAAAATACTTTCTGCAACTCACATATAGAAACGCCCTTCTTCTAGATGGTAGAACCATAATATTTTAAGCTGAGAAATAAATTTACACGTTTCCAAGCTATATACCCTGGAGTGCTTCAAAAAAAGTATTTCAAACTGTGCATACATTGTTAAGTCCTAAGATGGAGGCCAATTTTAAGCAGTTTGTGAGAGTTTGCTTAAGAGTTTATGTGAGCAAAATTTTATATAAGGCAATGGAGTTACATCCTCTTGCACCATATTTTTTTGATGGCCCTAGGAGTGCACAAATAGAAAAAGGACATTTTCATAAAGCTGTGGGCCAGAGAAACGGATAAAAGTTTGCATATGATGAGCAGGTACAGTACATAGCTGACATCTAAAGATAACATTATGCTACAGTGTTAAATCTGACAGTGACAAAACCTGTGAAGAGGGATGCCCAGCAGTAAATCCAACATGAAAAAATGCATTCAACCCAGAAGGCTTGAGGTCATCACATAGTCAGCACATTTTTGAGACGAGCAGTCCCTGTAGCAAAACGTACCCATTCTCTTACATACAGCAAAACTAACAGTTGTCTTGAAAACAAGTCAAGGTCATAGCATGACAGCAAGGGATTGACCCTAGAGGGCACCCAGAGCCAGCTAATCCCCAGCTGTGTCCATCCTCCTCCGGTCCCTTGCCTGGGCTGGTATAAATTGCCTTGGGAACAACAAGGAGTAACTCTTTCTATTACTCCAAGGTCTCTGATGTCCTTTCCTATTTAAAAGATGGGGAAGGTGGAGGTGTGGGGTAGGAAAAGGCTGTGTCAAACGAAGCAGCATCTTGCTGGAAGTCCTCTTGGTATCTCTAGTTTTTATGTTTAATCAGAGAAGACAAGGTAGCACGTGAACTAAGAATTCGTTAAAGCCCTGGTGCAGACAAAGCAATCGTCATTTAACTTCAGATAAATCAGCTATCAGTCATAATGTAGGGTTTTTCTCTGAACCACTTTTGTTACATAGGTAAGACCATCTTCGTTAGCTAACATCACAATTCCTCCTCATCTTCCTCTAGTGTATATCTGGCTTTGTGTGAAGAGGGGACACAATGGGGTCCAGCCCTCAGTGCCTCTCATGTCTTCCCTTATCTCAGCTAGAGGACTGGTTGTCTGGGTTTAATGCATTTAAGTCCTTCTCGGCATAGCATCACAAGGTGATCCACCTTTCCCCCAGAGCAGAAAAAAAAAAACCCCAACAACCAACCACCCTGCCATTTCACATTGGCTGGTAATAAGCACGTCTTCCATCCTTGCAGCAATTTTAAATGAAACTTGTAAGATTTTTCAATTATCAATCTGGATAACATCACCTTCCACTTACTCTTCATTTGAATTTACATCACAGTTATAATCTGGCAGCAATTCCCTCTCCTAGAGAAAACAATGATTGGACAATTAAATGTGAAAGCTCCATGAATCAGTGGATGAGCCACATGAGCACAGATTTTTTTTTTTTTCATTATAGTCCTACTGCCTTGTCATCCCTCTGGTGTAAGCTCAGTTTCATGAGTGGAGTTGGCTCCTCAAACTTCCCTTTTACACACGCACAGACCATGGCTTAAAGGTCCCTGGCTCAGCAGAAGGGCACTGTAAAGAGAAAAAAAAATTAAGTTACAAACAAATGAGGGTCCCAGCCTGGGTTCAGCATACCCCACCAGGCTCCCTTTGAGATGAGTGGCTTTGTACTGTTGAAGATCTGAGCTCATATCCCAGTCTTTCAAAACACAGAGATGTCTGTCTCAAGCACTGCTGTTAGAGGCTGTGCTTGGCAATGGGAGCCCCAGCAATGCTGGTCTGTGGATTTGTCTCTCACTTGGTGGCATGTTAAACAAAGGATAACACCCATGAAATAAAAACCATCTGCTTAAGCAGGGCCACCGCCTCCCCATCCTGCCCTAATCCCAGACCTGAGCCACTGTGACCAGCACACGCACGCTGTGTGGGCAGGCTGGTTAGGGAGCAGGCTATGAAACCAGAAGCTGTTTACCATTTTGGTGAA